ATAGGGCATGAATCATGTCCCACGTCACGCAATAATCTGGTCGGAGAGCGTCCTTCTTCATGAATTAAATGGCAGTACTTTTATATTATGCACGCAAACCCACATGTTCTCAAGAGACGTTCTCATCCTCTACCCTATTCGCCTCTTTTTTATAACCATGACATCAATATTGGAATGGCTTACATTTAATCTTTTATAAAATTAATATCAAAATGTTAAATTATAAATTAAAAATAATTAACTAAATTTTTGCATAAAATTAAATCTGAATCACTTATATATTAATCTTATAGTTAGAAAAGGAAGAAGATGATGGGAAAGGAGCAGGAGCGGAGAGTTCCTCCTCCTACCAGTCAATAACACAGTCAGCTGCCGGGACCGCATTCTGTGCTCATCAGGCTGATGAGCACGGCATGCTAGCATTTTGAATGCTGAACAGTGTGTGACTTCTTTTTTTTAACTTTTTTTCCCCTCTTTGTTCACCACAAAAAAATGATATTTATGATTTTTAATACAAGAGTTTGTTTGACTTTTATTTTGATCTTAAATACTCTTCCGGTTCTTAATATAGGACCCAATTCTTGAGTTGGTTTTGGTCCTAAATATAAGACCCATTTATCATATTTATCAATTTTCTCTAAATTACCCCTATGGATACCCCCAACCATAGTCAAGTAGAAGAGGAAGATAAGGTATTAAGAAAGATGATTATGGTGTTTTAGGAAAAATGTGTCACTTTTCTTATAATTAACTAACTTACCTAACTTCCTTAATCTAATCAAATTAGTTAAATGGGTCTTATATTAAGGACCGGAGAAGTATAATATTTCAATCCACTTTATTTCTCATATTTATCTATTTTTTCTCAAAATAATCATTATAATAATAATAGTTTTAACTAATACATTTGATCAGTAAGAATATTTTAGAAAAGGCAAAACCTATTTATTCCAAATAATTAACTTAACTATTTTTTTTAATCTATTCAAATTAATCAATTAACTCTTATATTAAGGACCAAATATATTATATATTAAAATTATTTTTGAATTAAGTTTCATCGAATACTCTAAAATAATTTATCATGTGTATTCAATAAAAATACTGGATGTATCTAAACAATATTTTAAAGCGTTGGATGGATCACACAATATTTTAGAATACTAGATACATTTGATAAAATATTTGTGTGATGGATGAATCAAAAAATATTTCTAAGATGCTGAACTTGCTTGAAAAATAATTTAGGGTGTTGGATAATTGTAGCAGAAAATACTTTAAGATATGGGACACATCTTAAAAAAATATTTTAGTGTGTTAGATGAAACTGAAAGTTAAGCCAAAAATAATTTGTATGCATATATTTTTTTAATAAAAAAGACAAAAAAAGGGGAAACCAAAAAAAAAAAAAAAAACTAAGGTCACACTACTCAGCAGCCTGATAAGCACAGAATGCGGAATGCGAACTGCGGATGGGTCAGCTGCCCTCCCACGCACGCTTTATCTGAACATTATAGCTGGATTTATATTAGTTCAAATTAAATTATAATAAACGAACATTTTGGTTAAAAACCTCGAATTATAATAAAGAAAAGTGAAAAAAATACTGTATAAAATACTATTTATCAACCATTAATGATTCATTGAAATTTAAGATGAACTTGGTACATGATATGATTTTACTTCCCTTTCTATCCTTTGTTCTCATATTTCATGTACAATTGGCACTTTCAAAATTTATTTTTTCTCTCAAGTTATTTATACTTTTTGAAAAATATGGTCAGACCTAATCTTCTTTATTCAGAGTCAAAAAAGTGACTATAGAGTATGATGGAATAAAATAATTTAACCGCAGCGTCTTAACTAATTAAGGACAATATCGAAATTATGCTTCACTAAACAAAAAATAGTGGCACCTTCAAATTTTATTTAGTCTCTTCAAAAATTATTTCCATTTTTATACATTTAAGAGTCATTACAGCACCACTGCCAATAAAATCCAACTCATCAATTCTTCCCGTCCTCTGTAATTTTTCAACCCTAACATACAGATGTCCTATACCAAGAGCAAAAACCAAGTCATTTTTCCAACAGGAATCCATCCAAGTAATATAACAGAAATCCACACCAGTTAGTCAAGAGAAGTCTATTTTAATTTATTGGCTCCATCTGCTTCTCATAAAAACAAAAATATCCTAATTAATTAGCATCTTGATATCCGGATCCCTTACTAATTAACCATTCCCTCTTATCCGTGGTCCTATCTCATAAACTAATGTAGTGTATGTGGACACCCTTTAATTACTCTCTATGCTTGTGCCTCTTCAAATCTATAACCATCTTTGTGCCCTTTAAAAACACTGGCTCCACACTTTGGACCTTCATTATTGGATGGCTTTCATCAACTTGTATCGTATTTCCCTTATGAAATATCAGTGTACCTTCTAAATGAGATTTTAAATTTATTTCATGATCTGAAAACTTGAGTTAATGATACTCCTCCGGTCCTTAATATAGGACCCAATTCTTGAGTTGGTTTTGATCCTAAATGTAAGAACCCATTTCTCATATTTATCAATTTTCTCTAAATTACCCCTATAGATACTCCCTCAACCGTAATTAAATAGAAGAGGGAGATGGGGTATTAAGAAAGATGATCATGGTGTTTTAGGAAAAATGTGTCACTTTTCTTATAATTAACTAACTTACCTAACTTTCTTAATCTAATCAAATTAGTTAAATGGGTCTTATATTAAGGACCGGAGGAGTATCTTACTTCTGTTATGCAGAGGTTTAACTGTGCTCTACATTTACCACACTCAGAGAACATGTGTATCAGAAAGAATCCCACCACAATTGTTCAATTAAGATATTTTTTTCCCCCTCAAATCGTCATAGGAATATAATTTAACTACGAATATATATGATGCGAAGATGTTGAGTTCCTAACGTAATTTTGAGGTTCAATGGTTAATGAGTCGCTATAATGAGAGGGATATCTCTTGGTTCAATGCTACGAGAGGGGTCTTCTAACTTTGAAGATGGATATTTCTTCCTTTCGGCGACCAAGTCGAGGTTGACGGTACAGGAATAAGAGAGCAGAGAACAAAGGATAGATATTTCTTGAACTGGAGATTTCTTCCTAATTGGCCACGATATGAAAATTTCTGCAAGTCCATTAGTTGAAACTCGATCGAGATTTATGTCTTCCTCTCTCTCAGCCACGACATGAGAACTTGTTCTGCAACTCGATTCGTTCTCCATGGTCCATCTGATCTCAACCATGCATGGGATTATTTAATTTCTTATTTTTGACCTCTCATTATTTTTTTCCAACAAGGTCAAATGTGTCTTCTTTTCGCTTTAAAACAATATTCAATTATATCTTTATTTTGTCTTTATTATACGGATCAAACTCCAACTTATAAGACCTCTGGTTGCTTTGGAGGTGTTTGGCAAGTGATAAAAGTGTTTTCAAAAAGTTTTTTTTTTTATAAATCGAGATAAACTCTTCTGCATATTTATTTTATATATTGTAAAATTATTTTTAAAACCATGGTTTGATATTTATCCAAACACTATTTCTGTCCCTTGGATTCATACTCTCTCTCTCTTCAAATTCTTGCTACTGAGTGCACATAATAAAGAATAGTCTTTAAGAGTAGTTTAATTTCAATATAAATAATTATTAAAAATAAAAATTTTAAAAAAAATCGACACACATTTTTTAATAAATAGTTAGCTTAACTCGTTTATGTACTCACAGTTTATATTAATAGTTACGGGTTCAGATTATAATTTTAAAACAAAAGAGATATAAAATGAAATGAAATAAATGCCAAGACGATGATGACATATAAATAGTGTTCCTAACAAGAGAATTGTATTACATAACAATTGCAAAGACCTTTCATACATATAGAATGCTTTTAAGGACATATAAATAGCAGTTAGCGCACGCCTTTGAAGTGAAAGTGATGATAGGAGCTTCTTCTAATATAATACTACCTCCGGTCCTAATTATAAAACCCAGTTGACTTATTTGAGGAGATTAAGGAAGTAAGTTAAGTTAGTTATTTGTAATAAATAAGTGTTGTCATTCCTAAAATATCCTTGCTAATTAAGTATATTGGCCAGAACTATCATTATTAGAAGGATTATCTTGAAAAAAAATACATAAATATGGGAGAGAAAATAGGTTGGGGTCTTATAATTAGGACCAAACAAAAAGTCAAACAGGGTCTTATAATAAGGACCGGAGGTAGTAATATGTTTAGATTGGCTTTTTAAAAGTACAACTTCCGATCCTTAATATAAGAGCTTGTTTAAATTTTATTTGATCCTAAATATATGAATTTAATCTTTTTTGTCTCTCATATTTATTATTTTTTTTACAAGATAGTCCTTATAATAATGATAGTTCTAGCTAATAAATTTGATTAACAAGGATATTTTAGAAAAGATAATATTTATTTATTACAAATAGCTAACGTAACTAATTTTCTTAATCTACTCAAATTAGTCAACTAACTTTGATATTCAAAACTGGAAGTAGTATAACAATAGCTTCTAATTATACGAGCAATGCCTGGCAATGGGCATCTTTCTAGAGAGATAATAAAAGAATCACAAGAAGATTTTATTTTATTTTTTTTAAAAAGCTGGGATAGAAATAACAAAATATCTATTAATAACTTAACAAAAACCATCGCTGAAACAAAAACTTAACAAACTTAAACAATAACTTGCAAATATTTTAAATCAAAACTCTAAACCCAACCATCTTATCTCCCAAAAACAACTCATAAAACAAACTTGATTAGGACACATTACGACCCTTAGGTACGACAAAAAGGACAAGGAAAGTGATTTGAACAAGAACTGAAAGGCAATACCCTCCTCCTATTTTGCTTTTACTCGTTAATTATTCGAATAAAACACAACTGTAAATATGCAAATATGGAACGTTCCATCTCTCTCGCAGATGACTGATGAGAACTTCAATCATAATTCAGAATATCACGAACAAAGCGTCCCAGATAGGAGAAGGAAGATCCACCCTCCATCAAAGCCTTCTTGCTCATCTCGCTCATCTCCTTCACCTTCTTCCTCACCTCACGCTCCTTCTCCATCACTTCTTTTATTCCTTCCTCTATCCTCTCTGCACTTATCACCCCCGATTTGCTTACATTATTGCCCCCTTTCCCCCTGTAATCCAATGAGATCTCCACACTCATCTTCAACTCGCGCACCAATTGGAATGCGTTCGTTTGTTGCTCCGCATAAAGCGGCCACGTGGCGATGGGCACACCGTAGTGTACACTCTCCAGTATCGAATTCCACCCGCAATGAGACACAAAGCCTCCCACCGCCCTGTGGGCCAAGATCTGGGCCTGGGGCGCCCATCCTATGACTCTTCCAATCTCAGCCGTCCGCTTCAAGAATCCTTCGGGTAGTACTTCTTCCAGGTCGGAGTAATCACCCGGCGCTTCCACCGAGCCCTTGGGTGGGGGTTTCCGTAGAGACCACACGAAGTGGACCCTACTTGTTTCAAGAGCGCGTGCAATTTCCTTCACTTGATTATCCTCATCGAAATAACCCCTACTTCCAAAGCACAAGAATAGAACAGACGAAGTAGGTTGATCATCAAGCCACTTCATGACATGATCTGATCCTTGTGGAACTGTCCTGTTTTCCCCTGCGCTTAAGATGGGTCCCACGGGATAAACGGTGAGATCACTGTTGGAGAATGACTGAACTGCATGGGATTCGAGCTCCTCGAACGTATTCACAATTACGCCCTTTGCTTTCTTAATCCTGCATGCATGGCTGAAGAAAAATTTCGCCCATTCCTTGTCCAACATAACACTTGGGAAAACATTGGCAGGAACATGGCTATCGAAACTCGGGATCGCAAACGCAGTGCCCGACTCCGTGAAGTTAAGCGCAGTCGTATCAACTTTCTCTCGCTCCCTGAGGGTGTGAACATGAAGCGAGAAGCCCAGAAAAGCAGCGCTCGATGTGAAGAAGACGATGGCCGGAACACGGAACTCGGCGGCTACATCAATCATGGTGGTGCAAAACATATCCACCACGAAGCCGGCAAGGCGGGGCGAGTCAGGGGCCGAGATGAGTTTGGACACGGCATCTCTGACGTCGAGCTTCTGGCTTTCGATGAGAGAGTCCAAGAAGGAAGATAGATGAAGAGGGTGAGATCTGGTAGGGTTGGGGTGCGGAGGAAGGAGAGTGAACCGAAGACGAGTTGGGAAGGAACCGGAAGAAGTGAGGGAGTGGATGTAGGCATCGACGGCGTCGTCAAATGGTGGTTTGATGACGAGGAGGGTGATGGAAAGGCGTTGATAGTGGGTGATGAGAAGCTTAGCGAATTCGACGAGGGATACAAGGTGACCCATGCCGGGACACGGCACAAAAACGAGCTGCGATTTCATGGCCGTGGTGCGCACGTACAAGTGAATAATGAAACGATCTGCTTAACTCTGGTGAAGATGGTTAGCAGTCTTGCAGAGTAGAGTAGACAGCAGCGAATCAACGAGGTTGTCGAGAAATAAAGGGCTCCATCACGTCGGATCCTTCTTTGAACCATCTTGGTGTCCTTGGCCTCCCCTACACTTAAGATGGGCCCCACCGGATAGACCTTAGGAAGATCACTGTTGGAGAGTGACTGGACAGCGTGGCGATTTAACTTATATGAAACAGTTATATATGAGACACATAAATATAAGAGAGGACGAGAGAGCTTGAAGTTGATGCATATCGAAGAATGCATGTGAGAGGTTACAATTGCACGTGGAGCAATTTTTCTTTTTTGGAGTTCATTGGCGTCATTTATATATGATGTTCGGATCATGAGAAATGTGTTTGTTATGGATTTTTTTAAAGAATATGTGTTGCGAATAAAATATTGTAACAAATTATTTGTGTTTTTAAAATAAATTTGTAATAAGATAGAAATCATCGTTCTTAAAAGATAAATATATGCTATTTCGGTCTTCAAGCTCGGGATGGCAAACTCGGCGCCGGAGTCCTTGAAATTAAACGCAGTCGTATCAACGCCGTCTCGTTCTCGGAGCGTGTGAGTATGAAGCATGTACCCGAGGAACGCGGCACTTGCAGTGAAGAATCCGACGGTTGGAACTCCGAACTCGTTGGCGACGTCGATCATGGTCGAGCAGTACATGTCGACCACGAACCGGGCAAGTCGAGGCGAGTCGGTGCCTGAGATGAGGGCGGACACGGCTTGTGTGACGTTGGGTTTCTGGTTTTCAACGAGAGAGTCGATGAAGGAAGCTGGATTAATAAGATGGTGATCGGTGTTAGGGTCGTGGAGCGGAGGTAGGAGAATGAAGCGGAGACGTTTTGGGAAGGAAAGGGAAGAGGTGAGGTGAAGCGTGTAGGTGTCGCCGGTTGGGTCATTCGGTGCTTTGATTATGAGGAGGGTGATAGAAAGATTTTCGTGGCGGTTGACGAGGCGCTTAGCGAACTCGACGGTGGGCACTAGGTGACTTGTGCCTGGTATGGGCACAAAAACTAGCTGCGATTTCTTCATCCTATTGCGTGTCTGGTGAATGATGAATGGGAGTGCTTCGATCAGTCTTGCAGGTGAGAAAGTTATAGGAAAGGATTATACTCCTCCGGTCCTTAATATAGGACTCAATTCTTGAGTTGGTTTTGATCCTAAATATAAGGCCCATTTCTCATATTTATCAATTTTCTCTAAATTACCCCTATATATACTCCTTCAACCATAATCAAGTAGAAGAGGGAGATGAGGTATTAAGAAAGATGATTATGGTGTTTTAGGAAAAATGTGTCACTTTTCTTATAATTAACTAACTTACCTAACTTCCTTAATCTAATCAAATTAGTTAAATGGGTCTTATATTAAGGATCGGAGGAGTATGAGAGGCAGGCTCATACCAGAAAATAGTTACTGTTCTGTTACTTGGCTTCTTAACTTAGTTAATTTGTTCAAACAGAAGAAAAAAGAACTGAGAGCTATAATATCATGATTTAGATGAAAAGAGGGAAAGAGAAAAGGTCCGTCTGGAGAGTAGGTGGGAATAGTTTCTTGTGTTGTTCATAATATTGGAAGTCCGTGGACATATAGGCGTGGAAACTGGAAAGCCACATAACTAAGCCAGCTAATGGACAAGTAAACTAGTTTTTTTTTTTGCCAGCAGACAAGTAAACTAGTTAAGTTAATAGATAACTTAACTATTAACAGAACAGCAACTATTTTATTGATTGAGTCTTTCATGAGATTAATTAAGAAAATCTGCATCGTTTTTTTAATTTTCCGTTAATAAGAGTCTTGGGCATGGACTATGGACTGTGGAGTCTTTTCTTGTTTTTTGGTCTGTGGAGTCTACTTTTGGATGACCACACAGCGTCTTCTTTTTTCGTAAAGAAAGGGTTAAGTCCGAAAATATATCAAAAATTAAATGATGGGATAATTGAATCTCAAATAATCATTTTTCACTGTAATTTGCAGGTATTAAGAAGTTTAAAAGGCCTACAACACGTAACAGAATATTCTTTTGCAGTTTGAAAATGCTGGGTGGGTTAAGTCCCTCCGCCAACGGGATTAACTTTGTTCTGGGCAATCTTATCTTCTTATAATGGCGAAGTGATCGTTTAATAATTTGTTTAATTAATAATAGTAACAAATGGATGCTAGGCTTTACACGCATCATATGTAGCTAACCCACAACTCTCTTTTTCATGGTCCAAGTCATTGTTAATGTTAAGCTTATTCATGGCATAAACATTCTTGGTCCATATGTGATGTGAATCTAATACGTATGACGACTCTAGCGATTTGTCTTTGTGTACCAACTAACGTTTCCTTAGGCACTAATCACAAAAGAGAACCTTTTTGCAAGGGTTCAAAAAGGGCTTTTTTTTACGGCAGTTTTTAAACTAGTGTAGAAAGTCTTAAACTTTCCGTAGCAATTGCATAACTCACTAGAAGGAAAAAAGTATTTCCTACAATTGTTCTTTTATTCCGGTATTAAAAAGTGAAGGAGAAAAAAGTCCTCTTTCTACCCTTCTAGTTGGAGCCGATGTAAAAAAATTGACATTTAATTATTTTTAAAAATGGGACAGGTTTTCCTGGGTGCATGTGATTTTTTTTTAAAATGCCTAAAATAAAAAATAATACCCTTTATTAAAAAATAATAATAAACAAAAATATGCTCTACAATTTACATATTTAATGAACAGACAAATGAAAGTTTAATTCAGGAATTACATAATACCAAAAGATTCACAACATACAAAATACAACAAAATTACGTAATAGTTACCCAAGCTACATATGATATCCCGCATTCATAGCTGTGTGTCAATGTTGCAAATATATAAAAGCATACTTCACACAATTTGTATCATCTTTAATTAAAATTTCAAGCATATCGTCAATAGGAGCAATTTATAACTACAAGCTCAGGAGTAATATAAGAAACCCCAACAATAATATCCACTTTGGCGCATGTAAACTTCGGTTTCAGCATCTCCAAGAGCCACCGTTTATATTTTGCTATACCAAACAATGAAATGCCAGATATTTAATCATATTAGGAACTGCACCGGTTTGCAATCTTTCAACAAATAAACACACGATGCAGCAAATCCACTCCTATTATTCCTATACCCTATCTTCATTTAGACAAATATCGAAGTGATAACCAAAATAATCATATTAGTTGACCTTGGCTCTGAATAATTTTATGACTCCAACTTGTCTCATATCAGAAACCTTTCTTACCTACAAAGCAGAGTAAGCTCAAGTAATGAGGCCAGGACAAGTGGATGCCACTTACTCTGTGATCCTTGAGGTTACTTAAATACCAAGGTGGTATCGCCAGAGGCAAAAACTATGAAAGCAGGAATTAGAATTGGCATCCAAGAGGAGGATGGTCTTTGTGGTACGAGCTATTCCAACATAGAAAGATAAAAATAGCAAAGAAAATTGAACACAAGCATGTGAATTAGACAATTAGTCATAAAAATATAGAGGAAGCCAAGGAGAGACGTACAAGATAAAGGGGAAATTGGACTACAAGAAAACCTCAATGGAGAAGCTGAAAGTATGATGCCTAAAAGGAAGAGAGAAAAAGCTCACAATGACTTCCCCAAGCGACTAGTACACAAATATGACCTTTGATATGATATATGACATATATTGCTCATCCCCTTTCAGCATTGTGGCATTCATATGATATATGAGCTACTCCCAAAAGACTGATAAGCAGGCAACAAAACAGAGACGTAATCATGCCCCCCCCGGGGGAGATGAACAGTAAGATCAGGAAGGACCGAATCTGCATATCGGAGTATAGCATTGGTCAACTCATCACGGCAAAACTTAAGAATAGGAATACCATTCAACCATTTATTTGCTTACGGCACACCGAAAAAGGACCGAATCGGTAAAGGTGAAAAACAAGAATGAAGAACGAACTCAGACACTCACCCAAATGACGCATAAAATCTGCAAAATGCAAATCAAAGGCGGAGAGAACGAGCGAGACTAAGGAAGAGAGAACGACGACGATCGACGACAACGGAGTAGGTGGCGGTGGCGGTGGGCGGTGGAGCAGGCGCGAGCAAGCAGAGGCTACAACACGCGTCAAGAAGAGCGGGTGAAGTGAAAAAACGACGGGTAATTTCGCAGATTCCAGACTCCAGAACAACTTTTATTTTCTAAGGAAAAAGTGACTACCGATTAATCGTACCTGTTTGGATATTATCGCAAACTTGTGGTTTGAACTTTGAAGTTGGAGTTCTTTAAATTATATTTTCGTTGTAACATATTTTTGACAATTTTTAACGTTATTTGCTTGTCTTGTATTCTAAATTAAAAAAAAATCAAATATATTTATCAAACGCCTTTATTATATTTGTCTTGGAAATCACGTATTAGAAATGCATATTTTGGGATAAAACTTCTAACAAATTTAACAAGCTGAACTAAATTTGATGCAAAGAAGACTGAATGGAATGCGATGTGAACAAACACCCAAGATGTTTTGCGCCATAAACAAAATCAAGTAATAAAAACATGATAAGTGTAACTAAAGGAACAAAATTCTGAGGCCGCAGATACATAATTAAAAACATCATTAGCTAGTGATATTCATTGTTCTTTTGTACACAAGTAGCTTCCTTCGGAGACCAGTGCTTTGTTCAGGTGATCACCGAGAGACATGTAGATTTTGCTCCGTCAGCAGGCAAAAGTGGAGATATCTTACCTGAACTTTTTTTTTTTTTGCCAGATAAATGAACATATATAAACGGCTCAATCATATGATTCCAAAATAATCACATATCTATTTATATAAATAAAATTATACAAAATAGGCATCCAATCATAATTGTCCCAAATGAGAATTTCACTCCCAATTCAGTATGTCATGAATAAAGCGTCCCACATGAGTGTAGGAAGATCCACCCTCCATCCAAGCCCTCTTGCTCAACTCACTCATATGCTTCACCTTCTTTCTCACCTCACTCTCTCTCTCCATCGCTTGTTTTATGCCTTTCTCTATTCTCTCTGCACTTACCACACTGCCCAACACTCTCCGGTAATCGGAGCAGATCTCCACCCCCAGCTTCAACTCACGCACCATTTCGAATGCATTCAATTGTTGCTCTGAATAAAGCGGCCACGTCGCAATCGGCACACCGTAATATATACTCTCCAGTATTGAATTCCACCCGCAGTGCGATACAAAACCCCCTACTGCTCTGTGAGCCAGAATCTGGGGCTGTGGAGCCCACCCTATGACTCTCCCAATCTCAGCCGTCCGCTCTAAGAATCCCTCCGCTAATACTTCTTCCAGCTCTGAGTCTGAGTAATCTGTCGGCGCTGCCGCCGCCGATCCCTTGGGCGGCGGCTTCCGTAAAGACCACAGGAAGTGCACTCCACTTCTTTCCAGAGCTCTTGCGATTTCTCTCACCTGCTTCTGCTCATCAAAATAACCGTCACTTCCGAAGCACAAGAATAGAACTGATGAAGGAGGTCGATCATCAAGCCACTCCATCACATGATCTGATCTCTGTGTGATCGTCACCTTGGTGTCCCTTACATTTAAGATCGGTCCCATTGGATAAATGGCGACATCTTTTTTGGTTCTGGAGAATGAGTGAATCGCATGGGGCTCAAGCTCCTCGAATGTATTTACTATTATGCCCTTTGCTTTCTTCATCCTGCTCGCATGGTTTAATAAACGCAGCGTCCACTCTTTGTCGAACATAACAGTAGGGAAATGACTGACAGGAACAGGGTTCTCGTAACTCGGGATTGCAAACTCAGTGCCCGAGTCATTGGAGTTAAGCTCAGTCGTGTCCACGTTGTCTCGCTCCCGGAGTGTGTGGATATGAAGCTTGAAGCCCAGAAAAGCAGCGCCCGAGGTGAAGAACACCATGGAAGGAACCCCGAACTCGGTGGCCACATCAATCATGGTTGTGCAGAACATGTCCACAACGAATCCGGCGAGCCGAGGCGAGTCGGGTGAGGAGTTGAGTTTGGACACGGCGTCTCTGACGTTGGGTTTCTGGGTTTGGACGAGAGAGTCCAGAAAAGAAGAGGGATGAAGAGTCTGAGAGTTGGTGGGGTCGGGGTGCGGAGGAAGGAGAGTGAACTGAAGACGTTCTGAAAAGGAGAGAGAGGAAGTGAGGGAGTGGATGTAGGCTTGGACGTTGGGATCAATTGGTGCTCTTATGATGAGGACGGTGATGGAAAGGTGTTGGTGGCGGTTGATGAGAAGCCTGGCGAACTCGACGGCGGAGACGACATGACCCATACCAGGACAGGGCACGAAAACAAGCTGCGATTTCTTCATCCCCGTGCGTCTGAGTGAATAATGAACCCTAGGCTCTGGTTTGTTTTAGTGGAGGTGAAGAGCCATTAATCAAAGCAATCTTGGTCCACGTGAGAGCGATTTGTCATGTGTTACATTACAGCTGTCCATCAGTACGTGTCTCGTGGGGTAGACGAGCTGAGTAATAAATGCACATTTTATAATTAATAAATAGGTGTATATTTTAAGAAATATTAGATTGAATTTATGCATCTATACGACTATACCTATATTTAATTCTTTTTAATACTTCTCATGTTCTCTTGATAAGAACCTTTTAATTAAATAAATTAAAAGTAATAAATATATACAAAATTTAAATATGTCCTTATTTGATAATGAGAAAACAAATGAGGGATAGAAATACTAGTAATAAAATAAAAAATTAAAGAAAATAAAATAAAATAAAAAGATGAGGAAAGAGAATAAAAACGACTACAACAACTCAAATTTTAGGATTTTATAAATAGTACATGGAGTATTATTTTTCATTTTATGCAAATTTAATTATGAGGATAAAAAGATTTCTCCACAAAAATCTTCTTACATTTTTTTTTGGGAAAGAAGGACGAGCTAGGTTTGAAGGAGAAAAAATAAAATCCCAAAAAGCTCATGCAGTTGCTGTATTAGATCTTCCAGCAGTTGTGGCCTCTTTGTCCTCCAATAATATAGCTAGACATTTAGTCGGAGCCTTTGGAACCAAAACTATATCAGTGTAGTCACCATGACCTATCTTAGCCAAAAAATCAGCACACTCAATAATAGTCCTACTAGTGTGATGGAGCGTCACTTCCCCCTTTCTAAAAACCAAGTCCCTTGTGTCATTTATAACCGGTTGAAGGGGATTATCTGCTGCACACATGCGCATGATAAGGTCGCATGCCTCTAAAGAGTCAGAATAGACCATGATTTTGGCATATCCCAGCTGTTTGGCCACTTCCAATTCCAAGCCTGTTCGGATGGCTTCTAGTTTTGTTTCAGTGATTGAAGAGCATCCTAAACCTTTCCTGAAGCCCATTAACCAATCTCTTTCAGAGTTCCTAATTAAACCACCACATGCTGCACTCTGTTGTTGTTTGACTAACCCGTTCATATCAACCCAGACTGCATCCTGTGGCTGTGGAGTCCATCTTCTCTCTTTTGCTGCAGGAATGCTGAACACTTGATGGCGAAGCTTATTATTAATGGAGCACTCCATAAGTAAATTGAGACACCTATGTATTAATTCTCTTGCACTCATACTCGTGCCATCAAAAACAAAGTATTTTTTTTTATATATATTTTGCAGATAATATGAAGTAGATTTCTCGAAAGCTAAATAACAGAAATTAAAGCAACACGCCCCGCTTGTGGCGTGAGATGAAGTGAGGTCTTAATCGCGATAGAGGAACGGCCACATTTGCAAACGAGTGAAAAAGCCCACATCTCAATTTTTTGTTGTGTGGCACAGAACATAGGGCGGATCCCCACCTCCCCACACTAAAGTCCAAAGAACCTCCTTTAATGACAGCCCATTCCTAAACATTCAAAGTCCAGGGCGAAGAAGATGCAGCCATTAAAATGATGAGCAAAATCAAGGAGGTCATTAACAGAATAGAAAGAGCCGTAACATTAGGAAAGCAAATGATGCAAAATTTCCAATCAAACGGGAAAAATAATTAATCCATGTCCCGTTAGCAAATTAAACTTCAAAAGCTTGTGCTAATTAATCAAAGTTTGAATTATTTGGTTGGGTTAATCTTCCATAGGGTTGTGTGATGATAGAAAGGAAAAGAAATGGAGAGCACAAGACAACTATGGGCATAAAAATTTGGAACGAAGCAAAAGGAAGAAATTTAATTTGTAAGAGTAAACCGTGGGCTTATCCAGAAAAACATCTCTTAACTGATGAGCACCTAAAACAAAACCCCTAAATATGATACTAGTATATTACATGCTATATCCCATTTTATTTAAAAGATTGGTCATTTTTGGATAAGCTGCATAAAATTAAAGGAAGCATTCAATATATATATATATATATATATTCTTCTGGTCCTTAATATAAGACCCATTTAACTAATTTGATTAGATTAAGGAAGTTAGGCAAGTTAATTAATTATAAAAAATGTGACACATTTTTCCTAAAATACTATAATCATCTTTCTTAATACCCCCTCTTCCTCTTCTAGTTGATTATGATTGATGGAGTATCCATAACGGTAATTTAGAAAAAATTAATAAATATGATAAATGGGTCTTATATTTAAGACCAAAACCAACTCAACAATTAGGTCTTATATTAAAGATCGGAGGAGTATATATATCTTGAAGCAAACATTCAAGTTGCTAAAGCAGCTCCACAAGAATGTAATAAACAGAAGTTGCCATTAAATTCCACTTCTAACTTTCGATGTCAATGGCAATTACAGAGGAAAAAACAAGAAATTTGAGTTTGGTAGCTGTCAATTCATACAATAATCATTACTATCATCACCGCATGGAGGGATTTGGAAGTGGAATCATTGAGGTCTGGGTTATAAATGATCTCCGAAATATATTAATATATTTATAATCGTTGGGCCTCACAAAACCATGCAAAAACCAATAGAAAATTTTCAGGAAAATTAACGGACTGTAACAATCAAGCAGAGCAGAAGTAGATTAGAAAAGGAAGGAAATCAACCCCAAAAGAAAAAAACAAAAAGCTCACAGTAACGCTTCATAACCCCAATCAGCAATATAAGGGATGAAAAACGAGAAACCCAAATCATACGGGAATGAATATGGAAACCCAGATCAGATCCTTAAAGTATATGATACCGTTAAAAAATAGGAATCCAATTTTAACTCACGTAATTGACCCAATGACAATTATTTCACTTCCAGTTCAGTATGTCATGGATAAAGCGTCCCACATAGGAGTAGGAAGATCCACCCTCCATTAAAGCCCTCCGACTCATCTCACTCATATGCTTCACCTTCTTCCTCACCTCACTCTCCTTCTGCATCACTTCCTTTATGCCTTTCTCTATTCTCTCGGCACTTATCACCCCCGATTTGCCCACAGTAGCATCAGACTCATCCCTGTAATCCATGCAGATCTCTACACTTATCTTCAACTCACGCACCACTTGGAACGCATTCAGCTGTTGCTCCGCATAAAGCGGCCACGTGGCTATTGGCACCCCGTAATATATGCTTTCCAGTATGGAATTCCACCCACAATGCGACACAAAACCCCCAACTGCTGTGTGAGCCAGAATTTGGGGCTGTGGAGCCCACCCTATGACTCTTCCAATCTCAGCCGTCCGCTCTAAGAATCCTTCCGGTAACACTTCTTCCAGCTCTGAGAATGAGTAATCTTTCGGCACTTCGAACGCCGATCCCTTGGGCGGCGGCCTCCGTAAAGACCACAGGAAGTGCACCCCACTTCTTTCCAGAGCCCTTGCGATTTCTGTCACTTGATCCTGCTCATCGAAATAACCCCTGCTTCCAAAGCACAAGAATAGAACTGCTGAAGGAGGTTGGTCATCAAGCCACTCCATCACATGATCTGATCTTTGTGTAATCGTCGTTTTGGTGTCCATTACATTTAAGATCGGTCCAATGGGATAGACAGTGAGATCACCTTTGGAGAACGAGTGAAGTGCATGGGGTTCAAGCTCCTGGAATGTATTTACTATTACGCCCTTTGCTTTCTTTATCCTGCTCGCATTGTTTAAAAAAAACAGCGTCCAATCCCTGTCGAACATAACACTGGGGAAAACACTGACAGGAACGCGGTTCTCGTAACACGGGATGGCAAACTCAGTGCCCGAGTCCTTGAAGTTAAGCTCAGTCGTGTCCACGTTGTCTCGCTCCCGGAGCGTGTGGATATGAAGCTTGAAGCCCAGAAAAGCGGCACTAGAGGTGAAGAACACCATGGTAGGAACCCTGAACTCGGTGGCTACGTCAATCATGGCTGTGCAGAACATGTCCACAACGAATCCCGCCAACCGAGGCGAGTCGGTTGCCGAGTTGAGTTTGGACACAGCGTCTTTGACGTTGGGTTTCTGGGTTTCGACGAGAGAGTTCATAAGGGAAGATGAATGAAGTGTCTGATATTTGGTGGGGTCAGGGTGCGGAGGAAGGAGAGTGAACTGGAGACGTTCTGGGAAGGAAAGAGAAGAAGTGAGGGAGTGGGTGTAGGCTTGAACGTTGGGATCAAATGGTGCTCTTATGATGAGGACGGTGATGGAAAGGAGGTGATGGCGGTTGATGAGAAGCTTGGCGAACTCGACGGCGGAGACGACGTGACCCATGCCAGGACAGGGCACGAAAACCAGCTGCAATTTCTTCATCCCGGTAAATAATGAATCGCGTGCTCTGATTTGTTTTGGCGATGGAGATGATACATTAATCAAAGCAATATCTTGTTCGGTGAGCGGTATTATGCAGATATACACATGAGAAGTTCAAGCGGTTCTGAGCTTCTCCTCTTCTCTTTCAATCCTTTTCCCTTCTTTTTTTTTTTGAAATTATTAGATTAATATTTTAACTCTTCATATTTAAGTCTTTTTAAATCTATTATTAAAATTTTAAAAGCTAAATTATATTTTTAGTCCTTTAACTTTACACAAGGTTTTATTTTGATCCCTTAACTTTAACAAATAAATTTTTAGTCTTCTAGCCTAAAACTGTTAAAAAAAAATGATGACATTGATCTCTTGAATGCTGATAAAACATTATTAAATATTAACACATTAAATTTAATATTCAAAACAATTATATATGATTGTTATAAAAGATATCATTTAAGACTAATAATTTTTAGGTTAAAAGATTAAAAATATACTTTTTAAAATTAAGGAACCAAATTAAAAAATATATATTTTAACCAATTTTAAATTATAAAAATAAATAAATTATAAATTATAAACTATATTAAGATTTAATAAATAATTGTTTGTGAGTGCACTAAATATTTTTAAAATTTTTTATAAATAATTTATAAAAAATTAAAATCTAAATTGTTGAAACACGATAGATTAACAATTTGTCTTTCGTACGTAATAACATTTCATTGGATGAAAATCCGCGGAGATCTTGAGAACCGTTCGTAAAAGATAACTTACATGGTGCTCAAATATGATAACCAAGGCATGGTTGTTTTATATGTGATGGAAGTATATTGATTTTTTATGTGCAAGTGGACAGGATATATAGGTGCTTATTTATTTCAAAATTGAAGTTAATTTCCTAAAAAATCTTTATTCAAGTTCTTTTTATGTGTTGTGTTGAATCTTGAAAGTTGGTTTACATATTCTTGTATCCATCAGTTGCGGATCTAAGAACATGGATATCAAATATTTGGAACTTGAAGAATGAATTGAAGAAGGTCGTTTTTATAACGTGACATGCTAATAAATTTTGGGAACTGATCAATCGCAAACTATTACTCCTCCGGTCCTTAATATAATACCGTTTTAACTAATTTGATTAGATTAAGAAAATTAGATAAGTTAGTTAATTATAAGAAATGTGACACATTTTTCTTAAAATATCATAATCATCTTTCTTAATACCTCCTCTCCCATTTTTACTTGATTATAGTTGAGGTATCTATAAGGGTAATTTAGAGAAAATTGATAAATATAAGAAATAGGTTTTATATTTAGAACTAAAACCAACTCAATAATTAGATCCTATATTAAAGACAAGAAGAATATATGATGTGTTGTTATAATTCTAGTTTCTATAAATAATACCCAAGAAGCTAATCAATATACATTCGTTCTTTAGTCTAAAAAAATTCCGGAAGTTGTTGACAGCTATGAAAGCCTAAAAGATGGGTTGGCACAAAATGTCAAAAAGGTCGTGCTATTTTCTGAAATCTTGCCTTTGCTTTTCCAGTCACTCGATGGCGAACACTCATTGCAAATTATGTATTCAGTTAAAAGTTCCTCATGATATTAAAAAACATCATATTTGTAGGAAGTTGGATCATAAAATCATTTTCCCATCCATAAGCATCTCCCAGTGTGATACTACCTCTCATTTTTTATAAGGGTTAGTTGATTAATTTAAATAGATAAAAAAATTTATTAAGTTAGTTATTTATAATAAATAGGTGTCGTTTTTCTCAAAATATCTTTACTAATTATATGTATCAGCTAAAATTACCATTTGATGGAATCTTTGACATAAACAATTATATTATTACAAAGACTACTTTAAAAAAAATAGATAAATATGAAAGACAAAATAAATTGAAGTTTTATATTTTATGATTAAATTAAATATTAAATTAGTTTTTATATTAAGTAGCGGACGTAATATTTGGTAAGGGCAGAAATTGGGACGTGAAGCTAAACATTACTCCCTCCGTTCTTCATTATAAGAGACAAATAACCAAATTACGTTGATAAAAAAAACAGTTAAAATTAGTTGAGGACAATTAATGTGTAAAAAGTATAATGTTTTTTCTAACAATGCCCCCATTAATAAGGAGAGAGAGTATGTGAGAGAACAATTAAATTATTAAAAGAAAGAGAAGTGGGAGGGAGAGAGAGTATGAGTTGAAAACAAAATAAATAGGGGTAAAATAGGAAATCAATATAAAAAAATAAAGACAACTTTAAAATGTCTTTTATATATGAAAACATGCCATAAACATCAAATGTCTCTTATAATAAGAAACGAAGGGAGTACTTATTAGTAATCTGCTGTTAAAATTCAAGTGAGTAACAGAGTAACGGTGGGCATCGAGGAACCGCAGTCTCTTTACTACACGTGGCGGGGGATGTTGGAACCTTCTATATATCCTCTTTCTCTTACGGCACGCGCGGCCATGGGGGGATTATGTTTCATCACATTCTCAAATCTCAAGTTAAAAACGTTGCGTTGAAGGGACAGCCTCAACTACGATCCGATCCCGTGCAATGGGAACATTATTGTTTCATGAATGAAGAAGAAAGAAATCCGTAGAAAAACATGAAGGGGCAAACATAAAATTCCACTCTCTTCTACTACCACTGTCTCACGCGCCTTACGTACCCCTCACCGAGATTTGTCTTGGCGATGATATTGTGAGCAGAGCAGTGTTGGCATACAGTGACACCGTATTATTCACAGTTGTGAGGAGTGAAAACACACGTGTCAAGCTGCATAACTAAACTACCCAACTTTAGTAGCTAAACTAAGTTAGTTAGGAATTAAACAACAAAATATTAACAGCTTTTTCATGCATAAATCATTTATCGAGTATTGTGTTGACTATACAGGATCATTTACTGACAAGGGGTGGGTGACTGCGACGCATGTGAGCAGTATTAATGTTGATCAATAATATAATATTACCTCCCTTCCTAATTATAACAGTTAGTTAATTAATTTAAAGAGATTAAAAAAATAAATTAAGCTAGTTACTTGTAATAAATATATATTGTTTTTTTCTAAAATATTCTTACTAATTAAATGTATTGGCTATAAGTACCATTGTTACGAAGACTATCTTGAAAAAAAATACATAAATATGAAAGATAAAATATATTGAAGTCTTATATTTAGGATCAAAATAAAAATCAAACAAAATCTTATATTAAAAATCAGAGGTAATATTATTTTTATTTTGCCCGAACAAATATGCATGTCCAGAATTTCTAGAATCACTAACACACACACACACCATGCCACGCTGGTTCTCAATATGTAAGTCACGTGCAACATTCTCATACATACTAAGAAATGTATCAAATTAACAAATCTTTTTAATTTTATTCTCATTAAAGTTTCTCCCTCCCCACATTTAAATGTCATTCTCATATCTTTTTCTCTTATTTTTTTTTCTAATAAGAATTAAATAATGATAAAATTGGGAATCAAGTATTAAATATAACATAAGTGACATACACTCATGATGACATAATATTTATCAACGGTTATGATTAAATACGTCTTGATATCATTCTCTCCGTCAATGCTTCTTCCATGTATAGCTAGTAACTCACTCCTTGCCCTCATCGCGATCTAATTCCGTCAATGCTTTTTTTTTCTTTAGCCAACTATTATGTTAGCTTTCAAAAAGTGACATATCCAATTTCTTGAGAAAAATTATACTCAAAGCAAACACTTGGTTAATTTCATATGACTATTCTTATTAAAATTGATACGCCAAGTGAATTCAGAAAACACGAGTAATTCTGCAAGGAAACGACGTCGTCATATGAGTAACAAGCAGTACAAAAGTGTCGTGGTCTTCTAAATCAGGATAGATTCAACATCCTGTTATTCAGTACATCATCAATAAAACGGCCCAAGTGCGAGAAAGAAGATCCACCCTCCATTAATGCCTTCCGACTCAACTCACTCATCTCCTTCACCTTCCTCCTCCTCTCACTTTCTCTCTTCATCACCTCCTCTATCCCTTTCTCTATTCTCTCCCCACTTATCATTCCCGAGTTGCTTCCATTCTTGAAGTTCACCCTATAATCCAATGAGATCTCTACGCCCATCTTCAACTCACGGACCAGTTCGAACGCGTTGGCTTGCTGCTCTGCGTACAGCGGCCACGTCGCAACTGGCACTCCAAAATACACACTTTCCAGGATGGAGTTCCACCCACAGTGGGATACAAATCCCCCCACCGCTTTGTGGCCCAGTACTCGAGCCTGGGGGGCCCACCCGATGACTTTTCCTATGCCTGCCGTCCGATCTAAGAACCCCGCCGGCAACACCTCTTCTGGGTCTGAGTAATCGGTGATGCCTTTTGAACCCTCCCGCGGGGGCTTTCGCAGAGACCACAAGAAGCGGACCCCACTGTTCTCCAGAGCGGATGCGATTTCTCTCACTTGATCCTGACCGAAACAACCCCGGCTCCCGAAGCACAGGAACAAAACCGATGACTCGGGTTGATCGTCAAGCCACTCAATGATGTCCGATCCTTGTTGACGCCTTTCATCATCCTTCGCACTTAAGATGGGCCCCACAGGATAGATCCGGGTACCTCCTTCCGAGAGCGAGTGAATCGCCTGCGATTCAAGTTCCTCCAACGTATTTACGATGATACCGTTTGATTTACGAAGACCCCTGACGTACTCGTCCACAAAACCCTCCCACTCCTTCTCCAGGACTCCTGAGGGCAAAACGTTGGCTGGCACCGGGTTCGCAAAACTCGGGATGATCAGCTCGGTGCCGGAATCCTTGAAGTTAGGCGCCGTCGTGTCGTAAATACCCTGTTCCCGCAGTGCGTGAAGATGAAGCATCAAACCAAGATATGCAGCGCCGGAGGTGTAGAAGACGACGGCGGGAACCCCCAGGTCGTTGGCGACGTCGATCATTGCGGTGCAGAACATGTCGACAACCAATGCGGCGAGTCGGGGAGAGTCCGGGTTGGAGTGGGACTCTTGAATGAGGTCGAACAGAGCCTGTTTGAGGAGGGGTATGCTGTTTTGGACGAGTTGATGTAAATACGGAGCAGACTGAGATTCGTGAATTGGGAGGTGAATGAGCTGAAGGCGCTTGGGGAAATTAGGAGAGGAAGTGAGAGAGTCGGTGTAGGCATCGACGTTGGTGGCACCTGGTGCCTTGACGACGAAGACGGTGATGGAGAAACGGTGGTCGTGGTCGATGAGAAATTTGGCAAACTCCACGGTGGACACGAGGTGACCCATACCGGGAGCAGGAATGAACACTAGCCGTGACTTCGTCATCGCGGAGATGTTTATGTCTAACTGAACGGAACAGCGAAGGAGATACTTAGAAAGAGCAATCTAATTAAGCGTAGGATTCTATAGAGAACTCATCATCGCCGTGCAGCTCAAGGATTGGGGCGAAGAAGTAAGAAGTGAAACCCGGCTCTTCAAATATCGTCAGGAAGAGGAGGCAAAGCAACACACGGCTTTGCTGCTAATTGGTAAAACTGGGGACGCGCATTATGGTTTGACTGTGGAATAATGGGTGTAGATGTTGCACGCTATAAAATAGTCTGCTAATTGGTATCATATATTAACAAAAAAAGTATACAATAAATATTAAACCATAAAATATAATTTCCAAAAATATCAATAATATTTTTTAAAAAAATATCATTCATAATTTAATTTTACGATTCATTATTCTTTTAAATTTTGTAATCATTTGTTACATTGATATAAATTATTTTTTTTTTCATTTTCTCCAGAAATAAACCTCAACGACCAGATAGGTCAAAGTTTAACATGTGTTAGTAACTCAGGGTAACGCTCTCCTGTGCACTGTAGAATAACAACTTTGTTCCCGATGGTTAAAAGAAACCTAAATTTTGCGTTAAAATTAAATTTTAAATTCATCTAAGCCTTGCGACTTCAATGAACCTTTTGACATTTAGCCCAAATAATGCTCTCTTATTCTTAATATAAGATCTAATTATTGAGTTGATTTTGGTCCTAAATATAAGATATATTTTTCATATTTATCAATTTTTTTTAAATTATCCCTATAGATATTCCTTCAACCATAATCAAGTAGAAAAAGGAGGGAGGATATTAAGAAAGATGATTATGGTATTTTAGAAAAAAAATGTCATATTTTTATAATTAACTAACTTATCTAACTTTCTTAATCTAATCAAATTAGTTAAATAAGTCTTATATTAAGCACAAGAAGAGTAATAAATAATGAACCTTTTTGACGGCAAGCATCCCGAATTCCACGTTCTGTATAATTGCACATGGGAAGCTAAAGTTTTGTGAGAAGAGTTGTAATGTGGTGATTATAAAAGTCTCCTACGGAAGAATTTGAAAAAAATTTTGGGTCTGGCAAACGAAGAGCACCGCAGCATTATTTCTGAAGTATGCTTAATTGCTTGTCGCGACTTGACCTTCTTCCTCACCTCACAGTACTCACTCTCCATTTCCTCTTATTTACATTCCATCAACAATGTGCTCATTCCGTTTTGTGGTGAAATATTCATTTCAGGTAGAGACGTTCACCATTAATACTCCCACAGACAATTATTTTTAAATTTTAAAATAAAGCTATACATTGAAAGTAACGAAGCAAACACAATATGCGAGAAAACGACCTCGCTACACGTAATATAAGCACAGAAACAGTCTTGCGGTGGTCTTCATCAATCCCAGTGCAGCTTCAAATCCTATTATTCAGCACATCGTCTATGAAACGGCCCAAGCAAGAGTAGGAAGATCCTCCCTCCATTAAAGCCCTCTTACTCATCTCCCTCATCAGCTTCACCTTCTTCCTCACCTCACTCTCCTTCTGCATCACTTCCCTTATGCCTTTCTCTATTCTCTCTGCACTTACCACACTGCTCCATCCTCTCCTGTAATCCAGGCAGATCTCCACCCCCAGCTTCAACTCAAGCACAAGTTGAAATGCGTTTAATTGTTGATCCGCAGCAAGCGGCCACGTCGCAATGGGCACGCCGTAATATACACTTTCCAGGATGGAATTCCACCCGCAATGCGACACAAACCCTCCTATTGCTCTGTGAGCTAAAATTTGGGCCTGTGGAGCCCAGCCTATCACTCTTCCATTCTCACATGTCCTCTCTAGGAATCCCTCCGGAAATAGTGATAGTTGTTCCAGTTCAGAGTAATCGCTTGGCGGTTCCATGGAACCCTTGGGTGGGGGCTTCCGTAAAGACCACACGAACGGGACCCCACTTGTTTCAAGAGCGCGTGCGATCTCTGTCACTTGATCTTCCTCCTCGAAACAACCCCTACTTCCGAAGCACAAGAATAGAACAGACGAAGGAGGTTGATCATCAAGCCACTGCATGACGTCTGATCCTTTTGGAACTGTCTTTTTGTCCCCTCCGCCGCTTAAGATGGGTCCGACGGGATAAATGGTGAAATCACTCTTTGAGAAAGATCGGACGGCATGGGATTCAAGCTCCTCGAACGTGTTTACTATGATGCCCTTTGCCTTCTTCATCCTGCTTGTGTGATTGAAGAAAAATAGCTTCCACTGCCTGTCCAACGAAATCCCAGGGAAAACACTAACAGGAACACGGTTCACGAAACTCGGGATGGCAAACTCAGAGCCCGAGTCCACCAAGTCAAACGCGGTCGTGTCTACCTTCTCTTGCTCCCAGAGCGTGTGAGTATGAAGCTTGAACCTTAGAAAAGCAGCGCCCGAGGTGAAGAACACAATGGTAGGAACCCCGAACTCGGTGGCCACATCAATCATGGCTGTGCAGAAGACGTCCACAATGAACCCAGCGAGCCGTGGCGAGTAGGGATCCGACTTGAGTTTGGACACAGCATCTCTGACATTGGGTTTCTGGTCTTGAATGCGAGAGTCCAAAACGGCAGATGGATGAAGAGAGTGAGAGTTGGTAGGGTCAGGGAGGGGAGGAAGGAGAACAAAGTGAAGACGTTTTGGGAAGGACAATGAGGAAGTGAGGGAGAGAGTGTAGGCTCCGACGGTGGGATCAGATGGTTGTGTGATGATGAGGAGGGTGATGGTGAGGCGGTGATGGCGGTCGATGAGAAGCTTAGCGAACTCGACGGCGGGCACTAGGTGACCCATGCCTGGTGAGGGAACGAGCACTAGTTGCGAGTCGGTGTTCATCTGGTGAGTGGAAGTGAACACTGAATCAGTCTGCTGCTTGTTGTGATGGTGATATTGCGACCAGAGCTACATGAGTGCGAAGCCACTTGTCTTTGGCATATATAGTAAGTGTTCAGGTTTAAGTTGTGTGGGCAAATGTGTTTAGATATACGGACGATGCGTAAAAGATGGTAACTAACTGATACGTACTATACCCGAAAGTGGTTAATATTCTGTTAATTAGTTTTTGATGAAGTTAGTAACTTAACTAGTTAGCTTATCTCTGGAGCTTTTCATATATGTGCGCGCGCGCATATATGTACGTTCATTTAAATAGTGGGAATAATTACAAGAAGTGATTTGTTACTGTTTGGGTGACGACAAGATCATTTATTGACAAGGGGCCGGGTGGGTGACTGCACCTGATCATGTGAATAGTACTAATGCTGAACAATAATAGAGGTGCTTTCGCTTTGTATGAAAATTTTGGCTGATGAATCATTATTATTTTTGCTCCAACATGTATGTCCACGACGTTCCATAATTCACTCCTCATCTTGCCGACTTGCCCCAAGTCTAAGTGGATAAGCGGGTAGGTGGAGGTGCAGGCCAATCGCATTCAAGTAAAATCACTCGAATGCTAAAAAGTTGGATTCTGTTGGTAGAGAGACCTGGATCTGTACTTCAATTGAGAGAGAAAAGAGAGATTGCGAAGCAAACTGCTGAAGCCAGAAGGTGACAGGTGAATGCTAAAACAGCACAAACTTGGAAAAATAACGGTGAGTTCTCTGGGGGGAAAAAAAAGAAAGAAAGAAAAAAGATGCAATCATTAAAAGAATTTTGATAAGAAGTTAGCAATATCAACCTTATTGTCAGTTTTTTGTAATGAAATTTGTCACTAACCTATGTCATAAGACTTCTTTCTAATTATAATTACATGGTGATTTTCTCGATAACGAAGCATAGAGAAATGAAATTTCTTTATTTTTATTGATATATTTGTTGTGTGTGAGAATAAACTTGACGTAGCTTGAGGACGGTGGCTACGTTGCATGAGTAGCCATAACCCAACTTGACGTGCTCGAGCTTGACGGACTGTGGGAAGTCCCGTAAACGTCGCCGGATTTTGATTAGCCATAACCCATCTGAGCCGTTAATCTCTCCTTACCCATTTCCACATTGTTGCTCGTGCTTCCCATTCTCTCTTTTTTCTCTATGCCTTGTTCTCTCTGTTTCTCTGTGCTGTGTAATGGAATGCGTCTGTGCTAGTGTTGGAGACTGAACATGGGTGTCTGTCTGTTGATTTTTTGTTAAAGTATAGGTATCCTTCTATTGAAGGCAATTCTATTTTCTATCCTGTTGATTTTGTGCCCAAGAGGTGGAGATTTGCCTTCTTTTGTAAACCTCAGTTCCCTTTTATTCAACTGAGTTTTCCACTTGGCTGGAAGCTGAATTACAATTGACTACCCAAGAAAAATGCAAATGAAATACTGCAATGAAAAAAAGAGCTCATCCTTTTTTCTTTAATAATGTTTAAACATTAATCAGGACAGGATATGAATGTTGTTCATGAATATATGGATCTTATCCAGAAAAAAAAAAAGACAAATAAATGAGTTTAAAAAATGCACCAATAGTAAAAACACACAGTGGTTTGGCGAAGGCACTGGCAAGAAAGGCACTGCAAAGGCAGGGAACAGGGCGAAGGCAAGAAATGTCCGGCAAAGGTTGGAAAGGGCAATCAAGTACGATGTCACCACATTAATTTATTAGCTCTGTTTTTTATCTAGAAAAACACAGACAAACAAAGATGTAAATTAAGTTGTAACTTGGTATTATTTTAGTTGGATATCATGAATTTTAATAATGTTACAACAGTGTGGAAACACATGATAAGGTGGAATCGGCACCTATCAATACAAGTTTTTCATTTTTATGACACGGTATATAAGCTGCAAATTAAAAAAAAACATTAATATACTTATTTTATTTCATGATCTAATAACCAAAGCATGCAAGCCACATACCTTGGAAATGAATCTATCATAAGTAAGGTTGTGGTTGCTGTCAGGGTGAGTCCTCCGCACCATTCTCTCGTCCATACATAAAATATGCTACTTGGACCATGGAAAAGAGAAGTATTATTGCAATGTTGTTGTCTTGAGTAAATTAGTGGGAGAGATCAACATCGTATTTCCTTTCTTCGTTTTTATTATTGTTCCCGTCGTGGGCATGACAGCGTGAGTTTTGTTTCTACTATTGCTTTTTTTATTATTATTATTTCTTTAACTTTATGTTCCGGTCATCAAGCTGCATATTTTTTTTCAAAAGAATCTTAATAAAATGTTAGCAATATCAACCTTATTGTCGTTTTTTATATCGAAATTTTTTATAATTAAATTTTTTCAGAATTACATGGTAATTTTCTCGATAAAAATGCATAGAATAGTGAAAAATTCTTTATTTTCATTGATATAAAGATGAGAATAGACATCTAAAATCATCAGGGTAAAACCGCTCGGGTTACGTAACAGTACAATGCATTCAATTTTAAAGATAAAATCTTGTTTATAAATAAACAGTGTGGATGGCTTCACAACCTATCATTCAATATATCATCAACGAAACGACCCAAGTGAGAGTAGGAGGACCCACCTTCCATCAGTGCCTTCCGACTCAACTCACTCATCTCCTTCACCTTCTTCCTCACCTCACTCTCCTTCCCCATTACTTCCTTTATGCCTTTCTCTATTCTCTTCCCATTTATCACTCCCGACGAGCTTCCTTTCCTGAGATCCATCCTATAATCCAATGATATCTCCACCGCCATCTTCAACTCTCGCGCCAGTTGAAACGCATTGGGTTGTTGCTCTGCGTACAGTGGCCACGTGGCAATTGGCACTCCAAAATATACACTTTCCAGGATAGAGTTCCACCCACAGTGAGACACAAATCCTCCCACTGCGTTGTGGCCCAGCACTTGCGCCTGCGGCGCCCACCCTATCACTTTCCCGATACCGTCCGTCCGATCTAGGAACCCCTCCGGCAACACCTCTGATGGGTCTGAGTAATCGGTAATGCTTGTTGAACCCTCTGGTGGAGGCTTTCGCAGGGACCACAAGAAGCGGACCCCACTGTTCTCGAGTGCACTTGCGATTTCCCTCACTTGATCCCCACCGAAATAGCCCATGCTCCCGAAGCACAGGAACAAAACCGATGACTCGGGTTGATCATCAAGCCACTCAATGACGTCCGATCCTCGTTGACCCGTTTCATCATCTTTCGCACTCAACATGGGCCCCACAGGATATATCCTGGTATCTCCTTTCGAGAGGTAGTGAACCGCCTGCAATTCAAGCTCCTCGAACGTATTTACTATAATACCCTTCGCTTTCCGAAGACCCTTGACGTAGTCGTCCACAAATCCCTCCCACTCCTTCTCCAGCAGTATTGTGGGCAAAACGTTAGCGGGCACCGGGTTCGCAAAACTCGGGATGTTCAGCTCAGTGCCGGAATCCTTGAAGTTAGGCGCCGTCGTGTCGAGAACACCCTGTTCCCTGAGTGGGTGAAGATGAAGAATCAGACCAAGAAATGCAGCACCGGAGGTGTAGAAGACGACGGCGGGAACCCCCAAGTCATCGGCGACGTCGATCATGGCTGTGCAGAACATGTCGACGACGAAGGCGGCGAGTCGGGGCGAGTCCGGGTTGGAGTGGGACTCTTGAATGAGGTCGGACGCAGCCTGCTTGACCAGCGGGATGCTGTTTTGGATGAGTTGGGGTAACTTCTGAGCAGACTGAGATTCGTGAGTTGGGAGGTGAATGATGTGAAGGCCTTTGGGGAAAGTAGGAGAGGAAGTGAGAGAGCCGATGTAGGCATCGACGTCGGCTGCGTTCGGTGCCTTGATGACGAAGACGGTGACGGAAAATCGATCGTCATGGTTAATGAGAAGCTTGGCGAACTCCACAGTGGACACAATGTGACCAATACGGGAGCAGGAATGAAGACCAGCCGTGATTTCGTCATGGTGGATATACGCCTGTAATACTGAACTGAATAACGAGGAATCTGTAAAAGGGAAGGAGATACTTAAAAAGAGCAATCTAGGCGAAGGATTCTAGAAAGCTCGTTGCCGTGCTGCTCAAGGCTGAAGCGTACTAGATTGGAGCCCTTAGCGTGAGGCTGGGGCTAGGAAATGAGAAGCGAAATACGGCTCTTCAAACTTTTTTTTGTTGAGGGGGGGGGGGGGGGGAAGCAAAGGGGCACACGGCTTTGCTGGTGATTGGTGAAATTGAAGATGCGGCAGGGAAGCTGCTGATATTTCAGAGGCCTGTGAGGAATATATTACGCCACTTTTCAAATCGAGGAAGTCCACTCATATTTAGAATAATAATTATGTGGGTCAAAAAAAATTTATAGGGTTGGAGCGTAATCAAACAGTACGAGTAGAATTGCTGCAGGTATTATTTTAGATGAAAAAGTAAACAAGTAGTAAATGACATCAATCAAATATTAAGAATCCGTTTGGTTTGATATGAGGAAAAAAAAAAAAAGACAGACATTTTTTTAATAAGTTTATTTTAAAAATTAAAAAAATAAGGTTAAAATTTGTTAATTAATTTTTTTTTTACTCTTCACTTCTCCAAGCTTTTGAAACAAGCTCATTGAAATTTTTTTCCTCTTTATTTTTCTTATACCAAACACACCCGAAGAAATAGTATAAAATAAATATTACGCGACAATATTTGCATGTAAAATTTTAAAAGAAATTTAGTGTGATCTGCTGGTACCTTAAATTTTTCTTTGTCCATTTTAAATGACCGTATGGTTTTCTAAAATTCTATACAAGTGTCTTCATCTGGATATTTTAATACTTATTCCCTTTTTCAAAAATATTAATACTATTTTTTCTGAAAAATATGTGTCCTTCCTGAAGAGCAGGTAGGTCAAAGTTTAACGTGTGTTGACTGTTGACTTACCCAAAAAAAAAAAGTTTAACGTGTGTGGTTACTCAGTGTTATACCCTCTGCGCTGTTTAATATTGCATTATGTCCCTGGGAGTTAAATGAAACCTCCATTTTCGAGTTCAATGACCCTCTCGACACACAGCCCAAAATATAATGAGCATCCCGAATTCCACAGTGCACATGGGAAGTTAAAAGTTGTAAGCTCAGAGTCTGTGTATTTCCTGTTATCAATTTTATTTTCCCTGCTTCCTTTGTTTGCACTGTTGTTATTCAATTCCTGTTATCAATCTAACTGAGTTTTATAAGATCGTCTTCTCAGATTCTGGGAAGAAAGGCACGTTCATTTCCAACATCTCAATCTTCTTTGGAAGAATAAAAATCTTAGAAACCTTCCCATATTCAAACACCCATTTCAGTCCATGATATCGCTCCTGAATCGACCAAAAAAAATAATAATTTGTTTTTGTTTTAATCAAGTCCACACAGGACTTTGCAATATACAGGTAACATTCCAACATATATAGTCATATTGGTCCTATGTGTTTATTTACATTGTCTTATTCTTTTAACCCTAAAAGAATATATGATTGGCTCCTACGCAAGTTTCAGATATTAGATCCGCTGGGATAAAAGTCAAACCTTGACAAAATATAGCAAAATATATAGTAAGATCTCATTTAACTTTTATTTTGATCATAAATATAAACCCCAATCTACTTTTTTCTCATATTTTTTTGTTTTTTAAGGTAGTCTTTCTAATAATAGTAATTCTAACCAATACATTTGAGTAGTAAGGACATTTTAAGAAATACTATCTTTTTATTACAAATAACTAACTTAACTTATTTCTTTAATCTCCTCAAATTAATTAGTCAACTAGCTCTTATAATTAGAATGGAAGGTAATATTTAATCTTGACTATTTAAGAAACAATAATTTAGAAATTTTGAAGCAGTTCATCGCGAATATCTGTTAGGCACATATTGAGTTTTGCCAAAGACACACATGTAAAACAGAACCGAGAATATGGGTTGGGGCCTAGGGGCTAGTCTGCCACAAAGAAGCAGGTTAGTGTTGGCGATTTGCTAGCCCGCCAAGGTGTATGTTATTCCAGCTGGCACTGCATAACCAGTGGGCGGTGGCAGGTTAGCCTGCGGGGTGATAGGTTAGTCTGCGGGTCCTCCTAACCAACCACTTTTTTTTTCCACACAAATAATATGTTATTATATTTGAAAATTTTATTTTCTCATTTACATTTCATTTTTCATGTTGCATATCTAAACCAAAAATATTAAAAAAAATATAACATACTATATCTATAATAAAACTTCAACAACTATAATAAAATATAAGACAATATTTATTACAAAAAAAGTGTTTTAGAAAAACATGGTCAATGAACTTTGAGAAAAATTAGATAGATGCACTTCTAATTTATCAAGAGATAATTTTTTATATCAAATACTGTGCTTGTATGAAAAGATTGTAGAATTTATTACTTGATGGATTAATGTTGAATGGTAATTATGTAAAATATTTATAATGTATTGTTTTATATGTGTATTGACTATTTTAAATGTAGTTAAACACAATTTATACTTGTGATTGTTTATAAAATTTTGGATCACTATTATTAATTTAAAAAATTAAATAAAAAATAAGGTTTAAAAATTGAGAGTTTTTTAAAAAATGGCGGGCTAGCAACAAGTTAGGGTTGGTATATTTTTAGCTAGCCAAAATACACACTACTTTAGCCCGCACTGCATAACCCATGAGTTGTGACGGGTTGGCCCGTATTCTCGGCTCTAGAACTTGTAAAATAGACTTTTTTAATTTAATTTCAAAAAAAAACGAAGTCCATTCATATCTATAATGTTAATCTAGGTATTATTAACATACAAATTTATTCTTTATATAATATGAAAAGATTATATAATCCATAAATGCATTTTTAACTCATGCGTGTTTTACAAATATTTAATAAAAATGAATGCGTTAAAAACTTTTATTTAAATTATCTACATATATATTATACTTCTCCGGTCTTTAATATAATACCTATTTAATTAATTTGATTAGATTGATAAGCTTAGATAAGTTAGTTAATTATAACAAATATGACATTTTTAAAAAATATCCTAATCATGTTATATAACATCCCACCTCTCTTTTTTACGTGATTATATCTGATAGAGTATTGATATAGGTGATTTAAAAAATTGATCACTGTTAGAAATAAGTATTATACTTAGAATCAGAATCAACTCTACATTTAGGTTCGACATTAAGAACTAGAGAAGTATTAAAAAGGTTAAAGTATGTATATTTAGTCATCTAACTTTACATAATATTACAATTTTGTCCTTTAATTTTTAAAAGTATAAGTTTAGTCATTTAACTATAAAATCATTAGATTTAAACAATAATTTTTGGTAACAATTTTGATTATTTTGAAAATTAAACTTAATATGCTAGCATTGAAAAATATATTATTAACATCTAAGATCTCAATATTATTATTTTTTGTTAATAATTTTAGAATTACAGGACTAAAAATATATTTTTTAAAGTTAAAGAATTAAATTAAAATCTTGTATAAAGATAACAAAGAATAAATGTATACTTTATTTAACCTATTAAAAATGTTTCACTTGTTAATCGAGGCTTCATTTACAACTAGTTTTCGGTGGATTGTCAACTGGCTGATATACAGTCCGGATAAAAAGAACTGGCCTATATATGGAACCGTGTTTGAGAATCCATTAAATTTGACATGCGTTGAATTTTCGTACACTAAAAAAGCAATTATATATGCTGAATTTTGATAACAAAAATAAAAATTGAGGAAGTCTAACACGAAGTTAACTATGCAAAATTAGTACTATCTCGTGTTTAATTTAGGACTCATATGGCTAATTTAAAAAATTAAAAAATTTAATAAATCACTTTAAACTATATATATTTATTATTTTTAAACAAATTTATCATACTTATAAATTGATATATAATCTAATGATTTATATAAGTATTTTACAAAAATAAGTAACATATGCTATAACTAAATAATTTAATAACTTTTTATTTTTTAAATTAGTTAATTATATCTTGATCACTAAGTAATTCAATCCAAAAGGAACCATAACATGTTACTCCTCCAGTCCTTAATATAAGACCCATTTAACTATTTTGATTAGATTAAGAAAGTTAGGTAAATTAGTTAGTTATAAGAAATGTAACACATTTTTCCTAAAATACCATAATCATCTTTCTTAATACCTTCTCTTCTTCTTTTACTTGATTATGGTTGAAAGAGTATTTATAGGGGTAATGTAGAGAAAATTGATAAATATGAGAAATGGGTCTTATATTTAGGACCAAAACCAACTCAACAATTAGGTCCTATATTAAGGACTGGATGAGTATTTATTTAAATTTCACATGTGAGCATGATCAAACAACTGTACGAAAAACTTAACGATGTGAATACAGAAAGTAACATCTCCACCTATTCTATCAAACAATTGGAATGGCACACATGTCGATAACTGAAGTTATTTGACTAACTTGATGGTGATGAGCAAGGCATCTAACGCCATATGATTGGAGCTGACGTAAAGGCGGATCAACTGTAACTCTACATTTTTTCTTATTTCTTTTTTCCCTAATTCTTGAACGCCGTCTTGTTTTCATTGATTCCTTTTTGTCATTCTTATTAAAAAGGAACTTACATTTGACAGCAATTTTTAGTGGCTGCACTTAACGAAGTAAATATTTGCTTTAATTAGAGAATAAGGCACCAGTAATATGAAATTACAAATAGAAAGAATGTATAAGCTCTCTCGCCATACCCGTAAGCAACAAATCCGTTACCTTCTTTTGTTTCTGCCAATACAAAATCATTACGTAAAAGTAAAGATCTGGGAGACGCAAAATCATCCAAGGGAACGACGTCGTTATATGACGGGGTCTCCGTCAATCTGGATAGCTTCACAACCTATCATTCAATATATCATCAACGAAACGGCCCAAGTGAGAGTAGGAGGACCCACCTTCCATTAGGGCCTTCCGACTCAACTCACTCATCTCCTTCACCTTCTTCCTCACCTCACTCCCTCTCTCCATCACTTCCCTGATCCCTTTCTCTATCCTCTCCCCGCTTATCACTCCCGACGCGGTTCTTCTTCACATCCAACCTATAGTCCAATGATATCTCCACCGCCATCTTCAACTCCCGCACCAGTTCGAATGCATTAGGTTGTTGCTCTGCGGACAGCGGCCACGTGGCCACAGGCACTCCAAAATATACACTTTCCAGAATAGAGTTCCACCCACAGTGGGACACAAATCCTCCCACTGCCTTGTGGCCCAGCACTCGTGCCTGAGGGGCCCACCCGATCACCTTTCCGATACACGCCGTCCGATCTAGGAATCCCTCCGGCAAACACCTCTGATGGGTCAGAGTAATCGGTAATGTGTTGAACCCTCTGGGGAGGCTTTCGCAGGGACCACAAGAAGCGGACCCGCTGTTCTCGAGAGCTCGTGCTACTTCCCTCACCTGATCCCACCGAGATAACCCCTGCTACCGAAGCACAGGAACAGAACCGATGACTCAGGTTGATGGTCAAGCCACTCCATGATATCGGATCCTTGCTGTTCATCATTCCTAGCACTTAAGATGGGCCCCACAGGATAAATCCTGGTATCTCCTTTCGAGAGGTAGTGAACCGCCTGCAATTCAAGCTCCTCGAACGTATTTACTATAATACCCTTCGCTTTCCGAAGACCCTTGATGTAGTCGTCCACAAATCCCTCCCACTCCTTCTCCAGCAGGATTGTGGGCAAGACGTTTGCGGGCACCGGGTTCGCAAAACTCGGGATGTTCAGCTCCGTGCCGGAATTCTTGAAGTTAGGCGCCGTCGTGTCGAGAACACCCTGTTCCCTGAGGGGGTGAAGATGAAGCATCAGACCAAGAAATGCAGCGCCGGAGGTATAGAAGACGACGGCGGGAACGCCCAGGTCGTTGGCAACGTCAATCATGGCGGTGCAGAACATGTCGACGACGAAGGCGGCGAGTCGGGGCGAGTCCGGGTTGGAGTGGGACTCTTGAATGAGGTCGGACGCAGCCTGTTTGACCAGGGGGATGCTGTTTGGGATGAGCTGGTGTGGGTGCTGAGCAGACTGAGGTTCGTTAACTGGGAGGTGTGTAGGAGGTGAAGGCGTTGGGGAAGCTAGGAGAGGAAGTGAGAGAGTCGATGTAAGCATCGACGTCGGCGGCGCTCGGTGCCTTGATGACGAAGACGGTGACGGAAAAGCGATCGTCATGGTTAATGAGAAGCTTGGCGAATTCCACGGTGGACACAACGTGACCCAATAAGGGGCAGGAATGAAGACTAGCCGTGATTTCGTCATGGTGGTTAATTTACGCTGTATTGAACTGAATAACGAGGAATCTGTGAAGTGAAGAAGGAGATCCCTAAAAGGAGAAATCCAGGCGCAGGATTCTAGAAAGCTCATCACCGTGCTGCCCAAGGCTGGGGCTATGAAATAGGAAGTGAAAGGAAACACGGCTCTCCAGATCTGAGAGAGGAGAAGCAAAGGGACACACGGGTTTGCTGCTATTGGTAAAGTTGAAGATACTGTTACGCGGCTTTTCAAAACGAGGAGGACAATAAGGAAGGAATAATAAGAATAATTATGTCGGTCAAAAAAAAAAAATATTGTCCCGTTCCTGCAGGTATTATTATTTAGATGAAATTTTAAAATTAAATGCCATCAATCGAATATATAAAAGGAAATAGATTAAATATTATGTTGCAATATTTGTGTGTTAAAATTTTTTTCAAAAAAAAATAGTGTCATCTGCTGATAATTTAAAATTGTTATGTATCCATTTTAAATTTCGTATAATTTTCTAAATTTTGTACAAGTTCTTTCGTCTGGAATATTTTAATAAATTTAAACCATAAAATATAATTTCCAAAATATCAATAATATTTTTTAGGGAGGCCAGGTCGTTCAAAGTTTAACGTGTGTTAGTGACTCAGTCTAATAATACGCGTTGTTTATAATTAAGTTCCCTAAATTTTATTCTTAATACGATAAAGAAGGATTATGTAATCCATAAATGCATTTTTTAACTAGTGCGTATTTTACAAATATTTAATAAAAATAAACGTGTTAAAAAATTTTAGTTAAATTACCTTTATATTATATTAAAAAATGCTATTTAAGTATTAATTAGTTGTTACTTGAGGCTTCATTTACAGCAAGTTTACGGTGGATTGTCACCTGGCTTATATATAGAAGGGGGAATTATAATCAGGTCCTAAAAGAGGGATTTAATTATCTCTATTGACAACTGAAGAATAAGTAATGACAAGTTTCAGAACAGAAAAGATAACAGACTTATGTTGCTCATTTGTCATTAAGACTTTTTGATAATTAAATTTCTTTCTTGAACCTCTTGATAATTCTCTTGTATAAAATAGTGTTTGAAAACCCCTTAATAAATTGTCTCGCATTACATTTTCGTGCACTAAAAAAGCAATTATATATGATGAATTATCGGGATTCACAACATATGTATAATTAGACTTTACAAGTTAACAAGCAAAAATTAAACTGTGGCAATAAAAATAAAAATTGAGGAAGTCTAACACAACGTTGACTATAAAATGAATGTTTCCGGCAAAATCAGCACTAAGCAATTCAATCCAAAAATGACCATAACATATCACTCACTCTATATTTAAATTTGATGTGTGATCAAACAATCACTATGAGAAACTTAACAATAAGAATAAAGTTACATCTATACCTATTCTAACAAACAATTGAAACATCACACATGTCTATAATACAAGTAGTTTGACTAACACGTTGATGATGAGCAAGGCATATAATGCCATATGATTGGAGCTGATGTAAAGGAAATGACATATCTGCTTTAACTGTATGTATACCTGCCGGCTCATATTTTCCAATATTATATCATCCATCAACAAGGGATCCTCGTTCTCTGCTACATTACAAAGGTTCTCATTGTGGAATTAGCCAATCTGACTCATTCTAGTTCCGGCAACAATAACTTTCTCTCGTCCTTGCCTTCAAACACCATCTCTTACTTCAAAGCTCAAGACTTGGGATCAAATCTCGTCCTCATATTATCAGTTTCGGCCGCAATGGAAGGAATTCGCATGTGGTTAGTCCTCCTTTTTTGTATTTTCCACATTAAAGTGACACATTGTGTGGAGGAGGAGGTCAAGAGCTCAATGATAAGCTTCCTTGCCAAACTCTCTGGCCAGCAGAGTTTTTTCTACTATGAATTGGAGGGAGACTCTGATCCTTGTACGGACCTCTGGCAAGGCGTAGCCTGCGATTCTCGTAATGTATCAGTAAGAAGGCTATTTCTAGACAGGTTGAATTTATCTGGAACTCTTGATGCTGCTATTCTCTGCAATAGTCAACCTCTAGCTGATTCTTTGATAATTCTGAGTCTTGGTGGAAACAACGTCAGAGGAGGAATAGCAGATGAGATTGGAAACTGCAAACAGATAACTCGCTTGTATTTAGGGGGAAATCAACTTTCTGGGGAACTTCCTCCTTCGCTTGCCGTGTTAAATAATCTGAAAAGGCTTGACATTTCGAACAATAAGTTTTCTGGTCACTTGCCAGGCTTGTCCAGAATCTCAGGGCTGAATGTGTTTCTCGCCCAGAACAATAACCTCATTGGGGCGATACCCGGGTTTGATTTCTCCAACCTTTATAAGTTTAATGTTTCATTTAACAATTTTAGTGGCCGAATCCCAGATGTGCATGGCCGAATCTCTGAAGATAGCTTTTTGGGTAACCCTGAACTCTGTGGGCAACCATTGCAGAAGAACTGTGCCATTCACACTCTTAATGAAATATCTGTAGAACCAAATGGATCAAATGAAATGAATGGATCAAATGAATCAAAGGGTCCTTCTAAAGATCAAATCCTGATGTATTCAGGATATGCTGCATTGGGTTTGGTAATTATCCTTTTCATACTTTATAAACTATGTACAAGGAAGAAAAAACAGAAGGCTGAAGCATCAAATAAGGTCGCATCAAGTAGTGATCATGATGTGTTCGACAAACCTGGCAATGCTTCAAGCGGACAAAAATCAGTAATAAGCAGATCCGAGTTTTCAGTCAACTCTGAAGGGGGGACGGTTTCACAGTCACTTATACTTCTTACACAACCAGTGGTAAGTGAATTGAGACTTGAGGACTTGCTGAGAGCCCCTGCAGAATTGCTTGGCAGAGGTAAGTATGGTAGTCTTATAAGGTGTGATGCTGGACAACAGGAAGACAGTGGTTGTGAAAAGGATCAAGGACTCAGCTACTTCCAGCCATGACTTCAAGCTAAAAATGGAAACTCTAGGCCAAGTGAAGCACCCTTATGTGCTCTCACCACTTGCTTTCTATTGTTCCAATCAAGAGAAGCTTCTGGTCTACGAATTCCAGGAAAATGGAAGCTTATTCCAGCTTCTTCATGGTAAATATCTTCTATTTGTCTCCTATTCAACTTTTAATTTCATCCCCATAGATTTACGCATGATCTTCGTAATACTATACATGCGTTTCAGGCGAGTCAAAGGGATTTGATTGGACCAGCAGGCTAGGAATTGCAGCTATGATAGCAGAGGGATTAGCCTTCATGCATCAAGAGGTTGGGGAGAAAGGTATTGCACATGGAAACTTGAAATCCTCCAACATTTTGCTGAGCCATAACATGGAAGCACGCATAAGCGAGTATGGTGTGATGAGCATGGACGATGAACTGAGCTTATCTTCTGCAAGCCCTCGTCCTTCTGGTTCTGGGCTACCAAATGCGTTGAAGGCAGATGTGTATGGATTTTGGGGTGATTCTTCTTGAGCTACTCACAGGGAAGTTAGTGAAGAACGATGGCATTGACTTGGCGGAGTGGGTCCAATCTGTTGTGAGGGAAGAATGGACTGGTGAGGTGTTTGACAAGGAACTGATATCAGAGTATGCGAGTGAAGAGAGATTGGTGAATCTGCTTCGAGTGGCTATCAAATGTGTTCATCGTTCCCCAGAAGCCAGGCCAAGTATGAATCAGGTGGCTCTCATGGTTAACACTATCAAAGACGAAGAAGAGAAATCTTTGATCTATGAAGTCTGATTTTGCTTGAGCCTTGTGCTTAATACTGAGTCGTATAAATTTGGCGAGTGCAGAGTTTTCTATTAAGTGGAATTTCATTCTATCTCGTGATAACAATTTTTCCTCCAATAATGTGTGTAGAATATTTGCATGGTTTCATCAATAACTAGAGACGTGAAGAAATAGTTTTGAGGTTTTTTGGTTCTCTTTGATATTAAATTGTTTTTGCTGTGCCAGTTTTTGATGATGTATTACAATTTCAAACTATACAAAATTAGTTAGTTTTCTAACAATTTAAAAGTAATTATATTTAAAAGTTGTTACAAATATTAGAAATGTCATAGTTTTAAGTGCCAGACACACACCACACACACACAAGATTTTGATGATGCATGATGGGAAAAGATAAGGCCTGGGGAATAATCAATTCTTTTCCCAGTGCATATTATCATCATGACCAATGACCATGATCAGTAGTTCAAATCAAAACCACGAAGAGTAAAGCTAAGCTTTAAAAAACTACAATTTGTTCGGATGCTGCATTGAAAATTTCCAGTAAGGTGGTTACATTAGCAACGGATATTCAACCATTAATTGATCTCTTTTTTTCTTTTTAGGGGGTGTTTGGATTAGTTTT